CCCCAAAACCCCAAAACCCCAAAACCCCAAAACCCCTTCATAATTTAACTGCTTGAAACTCCTTTATGAAAGACTGACCTAGGCAAGTGTCAATTTTGGGTATTCTTTTGATAACTTCTGGTATATCCGATGATCTTGCACTTCAATTGTTCTCTTATTCCTCTCTAGTAACTTAATCCTTGCTTCTTGTTTATTTAATGCTGGATCTGAGACTCTTAAATTCTTGGCCTTATTTCCTCCATCCTTTCATCTTACCCTGTGGGTCCTCTATAGTGTCTGAAGAATGTGATACCTTTACTAAAGATTATGGGAGATCTTACGTAGCGTCTAGGATTGCTTTGGCATTCTTCCTTATTAAGGATTTGTTATGCAGGACTGCCTCCATTATCTTGGTCAAGTCAATATCGGGATGAATTCTAGATGCTTTTATGAGAAAACTTACTCCTGTAACATTTTATTTGTCCTGAAACTTGCTGAAGAATTTCAGGAATAAGTCTAGATGCTGTTTAGCCTTTCAGAATGGATAAGAATCTCTTACTGATTTTTATGAATCAGATTTCAGCTAGAGAGATGAAAGATGGAGCTTACTTCTGAGACCTATTGATTTAGCCTGGGTCCATCTCTTATCACCAGTGTATAACTCTTGGTGCCCAAAGAAGTCACCCGGGCCTAAGAGTCCTAAAGTGTACTCTAGTGTTTCACTGGTTTCATTCACTTCCCACTTTTTAACGTTGGTAGGTATCCTGGCTGTAGTAATAAATCAAAAACTGCACTTTGAGGTTTTATTTAAAAATCTTTTAGAAACTTACCAATAGTCTGCATCACAAGCTTGGTTTTTAGAAGAACATTTCCTTGCTTGATTACCACGAAAACATCAGATTTATCGCCTTGGTTGTAAATTGGAGTATTGTGGCTGAAGGTTACACTAATTTACTTACGTGAGAATTCCTAAATTTTGGGCAATAGTATGAACATGTTTTTAACATATAAAAACTCAAAATAAATTCGATAGTACTAGCTCAATCTCTTACCTGTCGATATGAATGAATCTATAAATATTATTTCTGTACTATACCTTTAAGATATAGCGACTGATCCTTTGTACAAGATAGCTCTTTGAAAAGAGGAAGGTTATTTAAGAAGTAAAAAGTTTCACTCTTGAATATATCATCATCTTCCTTTTTAGACTTTGAATCTACCTTAATTGATTTATCGCTGGCTAACTCGAATATGCTATATATTTCGATAGGAAAGGATAAGAAAATCAGTGAAAAAACACAGTAAGCCACCCTCTTACTTCTGAGGTTTCTGCTGATAGTCTAAAAATGCATGGTCAAGCTTCACAGAATTTCTGAATTGGATCTTTCCGACCTATTAAAAGTGTTATCATTAAAGATTTTGACAGCCAATAGTATCTGTTTGGGTCTAATTTTTCCAGTAATCTCAAAGATGCATCTGAGCTAAGTTATTAGAGATACCTAAAAAGAGGGCAAAATGAATAAGCCAAATTGCTGACCTTCTTGATGGTTTGAGCTTTCTTCAGCACTTTATTAGTATTAAGACCCTTAACTATCTTTTTCAAGTCAATATCAGATTCTAAAATTGTTCAAAGTAATTACTGATAGTAGAGCGGAGACCTTTCATCTTATTTGACATTTGCTGGGATTCCTACTTTCTGAAGGATTTCTTTGAAACCAAGTGAGGATAGCTTTCCATTGGCACCCTAGATAAAGATCGATCATAGTAGTTTTCTGAGGTGAAAAGAAGTTAAGATTCATTAATGCCAGACTTCTTTAGGGATATCTTGTTAGAGCGTTATATTAAGAGATAAATTTTTACCTTTTGTGTAGTTACGCCTATATCATTAATTTTTCATTAATTACCTGACTTCACATTTTGGTAATCAAGCAGAGACATCACAATTTCCTCTTCATTGACTGGGACATTGATAAAATCAATCTTGTTCTCCTCTAAAAATAAGTTTTGATATACCTTGAGGGAAGATTAAAGTTGAGCTCAGATTGAGAATAGGGCCACAAGAGGGAGGCGAACTACTCTTAAAATATCTCTGGCTTCCCCATGCAGTGCCTAGAGCTTTGAAGCATTACTCTGATATCCACCAACCCTTGACTTAAAGTGCTTAGACTTGTCCTCGTTTATGCCCGAGATTTTAATTTTTGAAAATTTATGGCTTTCATACCTCTTCCTGCCTGATATATGAATCAAAACATTACTCCAGTTAGTACTGGATGCCTTCAGCAATGGTCTTCGAAGATTCTCTAGCTGTGACTGGTTTCTTTTATGATATAAGGGAGCATTCAGGCTAAAAAGAGAGTGCACTTTGTTATCTAAAGTTGAATTTCCTCCATACCAATATTCCTTATAGAAATCTCACTCTTGTTCTTAAACACTTGTTTCCTGAATAGGGATTTGTTGACGAAACTATGACTGGTAGTGGCAAAATTAGGCGTGAAGCTAAACCCTGATCTCTTTCCTCTCAGACTGAACTTCCTCGGCCTATCCACAGACAAGTTATTCCTCTGAGAGATTTGGTGGAATAGCTCTGCAGAAGTCCTTACTTGGAGGTCTAAAGAGTTTCGTAACTCAGTTGAACTCTCCTTTAGGCATGACTTCTCATTAAAGATCGTATGTGAATTTTTGTTAGAGTCTCTCTCGCTAATTGATGAAGGATCCTCTTTTATAAAAGAGGAATACCTTGTTTTCTGTATAAAGTTAAGTTTCAGGGCATTTTAGGTATTTTTCAGCCTGAAATATGAGTTTGAATAGGATATTTTGATATAGAAGGGTGCTTACACGAATCCTCGTTTGATTTTTATCAATTTTATGCAAAATATTCGTAAGTTTTGTCATATTTGAATTTGGTCTGAATGTTGGACTATAAAGTTGATCAAAAAGCCGCAAAATATGAACTTCCTTGACAAATTTGTAAGAAAGAATTGTTACTTGAGTCTAAGGAAATAGCTTGACATTATATCTCAGAATTTACCATGCTTACTTTGGATGTTCCATTTTGAATAATTTTAATCTTCAAATTAAAATTTTACAAAGGGGTTTTGGGGTTTTGGGGTTTTGGGGTTTTGGGG